CCACCCCCCCCCCCCCCCGAGTTCCAGAGGAGACAAGGAAACCCATTCCATGATAAAGTTGGTGCTCAGATCTCTGCCCTCCTTGTATACTCCAAAGGCCCCTGTTATCTTTAAGTTAACATACAGATATGTTGCCAGCCTCCTTAATTACACTGCATCATTAATGTGATATTTTCAAGACCCATCTGCCCTACTTCCTGGTTCTGTCCTTAGGCTGCCAGTTGTTCACCTTTCGCTGTGAGCTATTTTCACTTTTTTCTCTGCAGGTTCCTCCCATTCTTCGTCAAGTTCATCCAGCCAGTCACCAGTTAGCTCTTCTTCCACACTCATCACATTGCCTTCCTCCTTCAGCCTCTCTGCTGCCAGCTGTTCCCCCTTTGCAGTGCTCTCCTTGCTGCCATTTGATACAAACTGTAGCATGCTTCTTTGACCTCCAGAATGTTCAGATTTTTGATTGGATGAAGATGCCGCGGTTAGGTTGTGGGCAGTAACATTGTCTTGAACCTCTGAAATGTCACTTTCCTCCATGAAAGATTGTTCAAAATAGGAGAGGATATCTTTCTGTTTCTTGTCCTACAACAGCAAATGATGATGCATTTATCTAAAAAACTACTGTATAAAATATGCACTGAAGAGACAATCTTCTGGAATAAATGTTAATGAAAGGATGCTTTTCTTTTAATTATTAAATGTCTTCATGGCCTGTGTTTTGTGCAAAGTTTTCTTTTCTTATCAAGTTTGTTTGCCTTATATTCAAGCTCATTTCTAAGTTATATGAAAGAGACCACTGGTGATAAAAATTTTTTTTAAGACGTGAAAGTACCACATATCCAGAATTTAACTCAAAATAAGAAGATGCCTTAAAATATCTATGACTGAATATTATCTCATTTCAAACAGTTACTGTTTTGGGCTACCTTAAGTACTGTAGTGTCAGCCTCAGAAAAGTCCTCCTTGCTCAGACCAACCTTGCCCAGCACTGACAGCTTCTTCTGTACTAGAGGCCTGAAACAGTAGGAGGCTCATTTTCCAGGGACAGCCATTTTGTTCTACCAGTTATTAATATGTGCATAAAATAGTTACAAATGTTCCCGACAAGAATGTTTCTTTGAGGGAAATATTACCAAACGTGACAATATTATACTTAGTTATTACAAATTTTATCAATTTGGCTCGAAGATTAGTTTTCCATGGGAATAACGCTTGCAACCAAATCACTGAAAAAAAACATTGACATTCATTGATGAAATGAATTCCTTTCTCTTGGTCTCTTGGAGATGTACAAAGAATTGTTACTAGGTTTGTGGCCAAGAATAAAGGAGTAAAGATTCTAAAATTTTATTCTCACAATAATGCTGAATTGCTGAGATGTTTTTTAGACTGATGAAAATTTGTGACAAACCAAAGAAGCCAAAAAAGTTCCACTCAAATTGACTTACCAAATATAATCATCTGCCGTCTTCCGTGCCACCAGATAGTGAATGTTGACCGAGTCCTGCTGTCCAATACGATGACAGCGATCTTCTGCCTGAACCAGAATCTGAAAAAGGTACAAACTGCTACATTATCATATGGCCAAAAGAAAACAAAACTGGTTCTTATACTGACACAGAAGTTATTGTGTTCTTATAATTCTTATAAAGTTAAAACTCTTTACTAGCCTGGCATCTCTCTAAGTGAGCAATTATCTCTGGCTAGTGCTTTTTATGGTGCAGTATTATTATGAAATACCCTGCTCACCAATATGCATTTAATTTTGTGACTTAACATACACAAATACAATCAGAGAAACACCCACCAAGCCTTTGCACACAAACAAACAGAACAGTGGACAAACTAGTCCAAGGGTCAAATACAGCCAACCCACTTGAATACTTCCCCATGGGGAATCTTTTCAGTGTCATTTAGCGAATTAAATGGCAATTAAGCTTTATAGTGGGTCGCCATATATATATATATGACCCTCGGACTAGTTAGCCCCACATGCTGAATGGAGCCATAGACTTACCCCTGGATTCCAGAAGAGTTCAGCAAACACCACCAGGGCAGCACTGGTGAGGTTGAGACCTGCATTGGCGGCAGTGATGGACAATATGGCGACCATGACATCATCACGGGTCTGGAACTTTTGGCAGAAAAAGTTACGCTGCTCTGGGTTAGTCTTCCCATCAATTCTGATGTAGCCATACCTCTGGAAACAAAATTATTATAATAAAGCATAAAAATATATGTGTGGCATCACTGCTGCAGTGTATGGAAAAATGAGCTACAGACGACTTTTGAATAAATTTATGACGAAAGGGGGAGGCAATATTCCTGTACTATACTGAATGTATTGTGGTATAACTAAATTGCTTTTAAAGACCTTACACACTTCATGAACCTATGAAGCATCACAATGTTATTAAATAAAACTTTTCTCTTTTTACACTAAATTAAAGCTGCACCTTGCAGAGCTTTTAGCCACTCTGTAGCCTTCCAGTGTTACTATGTGCTAAATTACTGCTGTTTGGTAAATACCTCCTTCCTCACTGCCTCTTCTAAGGCATCCAGCACCTCTTTGTGATGGGCAAACACCAAAAACTTGTGGCCGCTTTCTAGTAAGTCTATCACATAATCCCTACAGGAAAATAATAATTATAATAAAATATCGTAATGAATAAAATGCAATGACAATTAACATTATGGTTTTTATTACACAATAACAATAAAAATCCATTCAGCGAACACATTAGGAACTGATATCTGTCTAAAGATCTCACGGAAGCTAAAAATATAAAGCAATAAATAAATACAAAGTAAAGCAAAAAATGCAGAATACAAAATACCAAATTAAAACTTGTAACTAGTGAAGAAACAAAACAGCAATAAAACTGTGGAAAGAAATAAGTATAAATTCTAACCTCAATTGGTAACTCAATTCAGAGTTTCACCATATTATAACTTACTTGCAAATCTATGCAAATTATTACTCTACCAAAATTTTTATCAACATAAGTAGCTTAATTAACAATACTTTAAATGTAATGTCTTAACAATTATATTTATTTTACCTGACAGCCTTCACTTTTGCCTGTCCTGTGTCATGGAAATATGTCAATAAAAAACCATGGCGGTCAGACCCCTATAATAAAAAAAAAATGCAACAGTTTGCATAAACATCATTATAACATTTATAGTTACCGGGTATGCTATTCGAAATTTTCCATGAAAAAAAAATGATTTTCTCTTAATATAGTACAGTGACTGTCAATGTAACTCACAAATCACTGCTTGATCTGTTCCTGCACTTGGATTCCGTGTTTTATACCATTTTAATGAAATGATTTTGTTTTCAAATGCATTTTAGAAGGAAGTATTGACATTTGGTACTTTCACTTGTAGAGGTTTACTAGACTAAGTCATGTTGTTTTTAAGGTCAAATTGGGAGATTTAATTTAACAGTTTTGCAGGATATGTAGACAAAGAAAATTTGACTTTGAGACAGTTACAAAAGAAGAAAGTGAATGTACATTTATTCAATACTTAAATATAGTGAAAATTCAGCATACATTTAAGGTAATACAATGGTACTGTAACATCTTATATATATTTAATACATCTAGCATCAAGTGTATGCTATACATAAAGCGTATATCTTTCGAGGTCAGTTTGAGCAGGTTACTGATAAAAGCACACCTGTTGTAAAATTTTCATCCCCTATTTATAGTACACAGTACAGTATACAACATCACTACTTGTAAACAGGTGACAGACGAACCAACAGTATTCATGATTATTTCATACATGCAGTGAAGGTTAACTCTCTTTAAAACTGAAGGTGAGTTTTTATATTTTGTTACAGGCATACGTTCAATTTGTCTGTTTATAACTTACACAATTTCCCTTAGTCAACAAGTCTAAGTTCTATATTTACCACAAGTAAACTTCTACTGTCTTCATTTCCAATATGAACAGACAAATATTCCACTATGATTTCAAGTTCAGAGTATGTCTTTTTTTTCTAAATATGGCAAATAATAGCACAAGAAGGCACACTAATCTAAACAGGGGTGTGGGGGGCATAAATATAAGCCAAGTTACCCAATTTCCAGATAAATCATTAGAACTATTTTCTCTTTCAAATATATAAGTACATGCACGCTTAAAAATAATTCACCTTGATTTTGTTTGAATCCAGCAACTTTGCAGAAGACTTGAGATTCTTGTCAATCTTCACAAGCTCTGGGTCCAACACTATCATCTGCCGTCTCTTAGCAGGTAACTGCTGTAACACATCCTTCTTCAGGCGTCTGAAATAAAGTAAGTGAAATAAAATTTATATTAAATAAAATAAATGGCATTGCATACAGGTAAATCTTATCTTAAGATTTTCATCACTTTGAACAAGGAAATAAATATCTGATATCAGACCACCATGGTGTTAATATTGGAAATGACACTTAAACAGGCAACTAAATGCTTTCCCCGTGGGCCACCCAACCATCATTTGGATGACCATTGGCCTCATAAGAGCCTCTATTTCCAAAGACAGCTTACTAATAAAAAATTAAGTTGTTTGGCTTGTTTGGCTTACTGGGGTTGGACTCCCTGTAAATTGATGACCATTACAGATTTACATACATGTACTTGTATGTAACTTTGAATCTGTGAGTTTTTTATATGGTAATCAGAGGATTTCATGCAACTGTTCATTTTTTTGGCAAAAGCATCACAAAGGCTCTGAAATGTATTCAGTTTTCTTTCAATTTTGTGCTGATACTTCTGTTATATATATATATATTTTCCCCAAATATATGAGCACATATATGAGCACACAGCATATCACAGACAATCAGAATGGCTGGAATGGAGAAAATGTTTCCTATTAATGATTTTTTCATCATAATACATAAACTGGAAGTTTTCTCCCGGCCACATATTGTTAAGTCTCAATCTTCGTCAGTTAGACTTTACGGGAAAATAATGTAACGTTCGTTAACGCGCCGGTTCTTGGGCCTTGTTGTTGTGCGCCCAGCTGATCAAGTCAAATGAACAAGATTCTCTTTTGATGCACGTGGAAATTTAATACGGTCTGTTGGAAAATATACATAGGTTTCGTTTACATAGTAACTAGCAGTCCAAAAGGTATAACGATACCGTCAAAGCCAAAATACGATATGTCCTCATCTTAGAAGAGGGCAGCCTTTATAGATCATTCAGGAATTTTAATAATTCAGGAAGAAATACACTTGACTGAGCGCAGTCCTTTCGTCTCCGGCTCTGCCTCCACTCAGTCACCGTGTTTCCTGGATCATTCTTACCCCTCCCAGCCTTCAAAGGCATTCCTGAATTTTATCTCAGGTCACGATCATTCCCGAATGTCTATTGACTGTCCCCTTCTAAGTTTATCTTAAGATAGGAATATTATTTTAATTTTAAGTATTTACGCCACTAATAAAATACCCAAAGTGGTATTTTACAATATGACCTAGATCTGTTGCTTCATATTAATTTTGCATATTGACTTCGGGTGTTTTAAAACACTCTTTTTCTACTAATAATTAACCTACAGTGTACTTTTATAGTGTTTATAGAGTCGTTACCTATTTTAACATGTTATCTTAAGTAAACAGATTGATTCCCTACACATCGTTTCCCTAAACTCCAAAAGCTAAAATTTACTCTGTCCATTTTCCCTTAAGGAAATATATATTCCCTTCCAAATATGATAATAATATAAATTGAATAATTTGAAAGCTCTTTCATTCCATAACCCTGCAGACAAATGACGACAGGGCTGAACCTATGTGAGTGAATGGTGTACCGGTGTAACATGAAAATCTGACTCCCATGAAAATCTGACTCCCCCAGTTATATTTTCATAATGAAAATCTGACTCCCCCCATGAAAATTTGATCCCCCCTCCACAAAACTTCATAAATCTTATTTTATTTTGAGTATATGACTGTGATCTTGTAGTATGTAAAATGGAGGATACATTGGCACTTTTTTGTAGTTGGCAGGTGAAAATTTTCATGAAAAAATAAGAAAATTAAAAATGTGCACTTAACCGCAATGTGCACTTTACAGCAGAACACAGCACTTTACAGCAGAACACAGATGACACAACCACCAATAACTCTTCCCTTGATAAAGAGCCCCCTTAAATTGTGTCATGAAGGTTTACAAAGGATTGGATTCACTTCTTAGGTCCGTAGCCAAGCAGACGTATGATGACATGGTTGAACCTGTGCTTTCTGGCTCAAACTTAGAGCGTTTGGTATATCTTTTTCAATTGGTAGGATACAACATAGCTTGGATCAACATTCTTTTTGTAATGATGCCAGAAGTAATATTCACCATTTTTTCACTACAATAGTGCTATGTTGTATTCTAGGTAATTCAACTAAAAACAGTAAAATAATGCCTGTATATGAAGCATTCAAAGACATTGTTTCTCCTTTACAAAAGGTTTGGGGGACATTATTTGTATCATGTTCATTTGTGGTTAGATATTTTATGTTACCAACTTTAAAAAATACAGAATTAATATTTGTTTTTGTACTTACAATGCTGCTGATTGTGATACTACTAAGCGTAGAATATGACGTGATGCCCTCAGCTGACATGACAAGATCATAAATGTAGGCCTACTTGACAATGTATGTTCTCTGATTTTTTTGTTTTCAATACACCTTCGTTTCTTTTAAGCTATCCATTGCTGCACATTGTTTTATGTTCCATTTTGGTATCAGATATTGACCATAAGCTACATATGTATGTCTCATTAAGACATTTACGTATTCTAGTCAAATGTGATTCTAACAGCATATCCCTAAAAATAATACTGCTACACATTCTTTTAGTATGTGCATTATATATTCACTATGTTTTCAAATGATCTTATACTGTTACTTTACAGTAATTAGTAAGCTATAGATATAATTTTAATATTCACTTATTTTAATCATTTTGATATCTTTGTTAGAAAACGGATTTATTATCTAGACTAAAATGATGACCATGTATATTAATCTTTTAAAGTGATAATAACTCTTCGTTTTGGCCAAAAAATGAATTTTCTTGGACTAAACAACAATTTTCCCATACTTACCAATGGTTAATGAATCCATTTTTACATTCAAAGTTAGTCCCTGGTTTTTTTCTAAAACGTTTGGTTTTTTGTTAAAATCTCTTAAGAGATTTTAACAGAGTATAGCCATCAATGGAGGTCACGTGGTCTAAAGACAAGCTCAGATATCAGAATAATAGCTATAACAGCCGTTTGTGTGGGAAAACAGAATATATTATATTTCTATGAGTCATTCACAATGTTTTTATTGTGAAATACAGATTTCTTATGAAGAGTTATTATCCCTTTTGGAATACAAAAAAAGGAGACCACTTCCAGTGTTGGGCTTTACATGCTCTACAAAATGCAAAAAAGAATGGGTCTCTAGCATTAACGGTTCCCCGAATTAGAGACAGTTTTCAGTTTCATCATCTTATGGCCGCTACTCCCGTGAAAATGCACCAATTGACCCCAAATTCACGGAGATGAAAGATGACCCGAAGGGTAACACTTTCCAATAATATTATTGGTTAAGTCTGTGTGGTGTCTGAATAACAGGGCAAAAAATTTTTTTTTCGTAAAAAATTTTATTTTTTTGAAAATTTTGACCTGTTTGACCTTGAAGTAAAGGTCAAAGGTCAAATCCAAGGGCATATTTGAAATCTACACATATGACTTTTGGAAAGCCGTCTGTAGACATTTTTCCCATAACCCCTTCGGTAGGGTAGATAATTAGCATTTAATTTTGCCATTTTTGGACAAGGGTGCATTGCAATGAGTGCCACACCCAGACCCCAATACCGACAAAGCCCAAATTTTACGTGGAACGAGTTGAGATTATAGGTGACCTAAATCCAAGAGATGGGAATGGCGGCCCTTACCGTCTAGGAGGAGAAGCAGTAACGGTAACTTGTAGGCGGAGCCGGCGGAACGATCCGGTCGGGACTGAAATCATGTGTACCGCCATCGCTAACGCTGGTGTTACAATAAATATTATGCATAATGCACTGAATGTGAACTTCAAGAAGCTGCATTAATTAATTCTTGGACTTGAGTCATTAACAAAAACATTCATTTTTTATTTATTTATTTATTTTTCAACATAGTCTGAACAGCATATAAATATTTATCATCAAGAACAATTGAGAGAGAGAGAGAGTGAGAAAGAGAGAGAATTAATGAAGTAGTATAAGGGTAAAGGCAGACTTATAAAAAGACTTTAGCCACTATGAAACAGAAATATGCCAATTACCTGCAGCAACTAATCAATTTAAAAAATATACTGCAAAACATTGGAATTTTTCTAGCTTTAATTTCCTTATTTGAAATTTTTATTTTCTTGGAAATATTTCAAAAATGGATTCTTTGTTCTTAAGACTACCCTTCCACTGTCATAAATCTTTCTTCTCATTAATCTGAATCACAAATAAAAGTGCAACAAATGCTAGAACATTATGTTCAATTATTAAAATTATATTACAAACAAACAATAAAGATACTTCTCAAAGCAGAACTTCCATGTTCAGGATAATGTAAATTTTGAAACAAAAGTTGTTTGTAAGCAATACATGCAATAAAACAAAAAAAAAACACACAAAATAATTCACACTGACGAAAAAGCTTTTTTAAATATCACCCGCTATACTCCTGTCCCAGTTAAAATCAATAAAATCTGCACCATTGTAATAAATGTTACTTCACTTCTCTCCACTAGAGGGCAGCTGGGTGATGATGTCATTTTTGTGCAAACATTCTATAAGGATGGTATGAAGATGTGTGCAGGGCCAACAAACATTCAGAGAAATTTACTGTGAATATCTAGTGAAAAAAATCCTGTGATCCAAGCAGAGGGCAACACTCCAATCCTAGTGCAAAATTACACGATGATCGATTTTATCATATTTCCTTACTTTGTCCCCAAAAACTACTGCAACACATAGTGTATATAGTATATGGAGCCCTGGTCAAATCTCAATTTCAGTAAGTGGGAAATTCCTGCATCCATGTTTTGCGTTACCATAACAGATCAAAGCTTTTTAGGTGAACAATACCTCACAGTACAAACATCTGGGTCAAGGCAGTGCCATTATTTACCTGGTCTGCAAAACTAACAGCAATATATTCTAAACAAAGCCTTTGTTACAAGGTGGCTGATATTTTAAGCTAAAAATATACACAAAAAATTCCCAATAAGAAAGATAAAAACCCTGTTAGCTACAACTTGGTTGCCTCAGATCAAGCTATCAGAGCTCAGATAGACAGCTTGCTGTATTATATGGTTAGTGATATCTCTGATAATTCAAAGATAAAAAGGGTCCACAGCCAAAATCAATAAAAACATGCGTAAGGGTACTTAAGATAGAGTGACGCATTTCCTCCTTATTTATTGCCTTACATACATTCTTTTGAATAACGGATAAATCTTTGGTGTAATTAACATTTACACACATTTTAAATCAGCAACAAAGATAGATGCATTATGAAATAATTAGTTTGACCTGGTTTCTTGTCTGTTAATAACAGGTGTATGATTTTACAGCGGTCAAACTGGTAGATATACAGTTGGATATTAGCCAAGTGACAGCTCCGTTGATGGGAAAACTGGTTGGCTTCACAGTATTTTGCATGTTCAGGAGATGAAATATATAATAAAAATTTGAGAGCTGCCACACCACAGCTGGTTTGGCAAATGGTCCTTTTTTTCCCTACCTTTTGAGGCCTTAGCTTTCATGTGTTAGCTAGCACCACCAGTACATATCAGAATCGTCAACAGGAGTGTTAACACATAAATTTTTGTGCTAATTCTATTGGTGATTATTGTATAATTAGTCTTCATATCTACAGTTTGATCAATGACTGATTAAATTTGATAATAATAATAATAATAATAATAATAATAATAATAATATATCAATTTCCTTTGCAGACAATTTAAAATTACTTTTGAATCAGGCTCCCACACAATTAACATTATCAACATACCCTAGTATTATTGCTGCTTACACAATTTTTATGGTTGTTTACCCAAAGTCTTAAAATCATGCAAGATCATCTTAAGTTTCTACTGTATCACTTCTGTTTTCAGGCACATGAAATTTAAAAATAATCAAATAACCAAACTAACACAAATAGACCAAGATAGACAAATAAACTGCACCTTTTAGGTATTAGTATTGCGATAACACAATATGGTTGTCAAATTCGAAAACATTACATTTTGGCGAGAAATAAATTCTACTAGCTTATATGATTCATACAAAACTTGATGCTTTTAGTTCATTAAAGATATCTTAATGAATGCTTTGAATGTTCATTAAGGGTGTACTGACTGAGACAAATTCTCCACCTTATTTGTATTATATTCCAGATGAGGCAAAGAATGATATCTAAGTGACTTCCCAGTATCATGGCAACAGCAAAAACACACACCGACTCCGGCCAGGAGAACTTCTTCCGCATGAGCATTTTAATTGTAGATTATGCCCTCAAGGTCGTGCAAGATATTCTCCAGAAAGAGCTAAGAAAAAAGTATCCCAATTTATTTGACCCCAACACGGGTTTTCTGAATAAGGTGCTTAGTGATAAAACGGTCTGGAACTTACTGCTTGGATTATCACCAAAAATCTTTAATCACCACCAGCGAAACCAACTGTATCCTGCTGGTAATCCCTCCACATCAGTAACTGTTGGTGATTTAGACCTCACACTGACTGTGCTTTTGCTGAGGAATGTCACTTCGTTGAACCCTCATCCTCGGTTGAACGCATGGGACAATCCCTCTGACACAGACCCATCAACAGAGGCCACTATAGGACGAATTAAAAGATATCGAAATACCGTGTATGGCCATGCAAACAAGGCAGCCATCAGCGATCATGACTTCAGGGCATATTTTTCAGGGTTAAAATCCAATCTCTTGGTTCTCTCTAGTAGGTTCACAAACGAGGATTATGACACAATCTTGTGTGAACCTCTTGATGCTAGTTTACTCAGGAAATACTGGGGCGTTTTGGAAGAGTGGAGCAATTATGACGAAGATGTGAAGTATACAATTGGAGCTGGGTTTAAGAGAATCTCAGAGGAGATCACACAGTTGTTTGATGGTCAATCGGAGCTAAAGAAACTGTGTCTTGGAAAAGATCAGCATGAACAGAACACAAAAGGTATGTAGCTTGTTCTTTTAGATGTTTTCCACAAACCCAGTAAACTGATATACAATTAAATGCCATGTAAGTCCTTTGTGGCAAGTAAAACTTAAAGGATAATTGGATATTTTTTTTATCTATTTAATATTGACAAATTGGCATCTTCCAGATGTGACTGATTCACCATCTGTATGCCTGAAGCCTTGTCCTAGACTAGCTTAAGTAGCTTTTATTCATTGCTTTCATTTTCTGCTGAGCATAGCACTAATTTCCTAAATATTGTTTCCTTGTTAAACAGGCGTGATGATGTACATGTATGTCGTATAATGTTTGCAAGTATGTGTATAGAAAGACATAAACTTAATCATTTATTGCCCAAAATGTACAGAATGTTAACAATCCATAAAGGACCCTCAGAACTATTACAAAGACTTTTGTCCAATGGGGGCTCAAAATTGTTATGTGTAAACGTATTCACTAACTATTTTCAAGAAATTACTTGATTTAATATTTAAATCATCGTCAAACAAGGCAAGACACCCAGAAGCCCCAAGGCATTCTCCCCCAATATTGCTTATGCAAAACACTAAAAGATTCTGGTTCTTGTAGTGATCACACATATATAGTATATAGCTTTGAATCTATGAGTCTTCTGTATGGCCATCAGAGGGTTTCATGCAACTGTTCATTTGTTATCAAATTTTTTCAGTCATTTCTGTTTTCAATATTTACCCAAAAATACAAGCACATGAACGAGCCACATGTACCATATACACTGTACCTGTTCAAGGAAGAAATCTACATTCACTCCCTTCCATATATTAAGGCTACTCTTTCACTCCATAGTCCTGCAAGCATATGACCATGTGATTGAAACTCTGGTTTCAGGTCCCAAAGACTGCAGTTGGACTGCAGTCATTTAACTTAAAAAAGACCCCCCTTAAAAAATGTTTGATAATTATGAAGTAAAAGAAAGAAACCATAACTTGGGAAGCAGCAATTCATTTCACACAAGAATGATAAGATTCTAAATTAACACCAATTTTCAAAATTTGTCTTTTTTTCTCTCCTATTATTAACATATATTGGGTTTCAGAAAAAAAGTAATAAAGGGAATGGATACATATATGGACAGCAATAAATGACAAGCCATGGAATCATGAGAAGTGTTAGTTAGTGATGTTCTAAAATTTTGCTTTCCTTCAGAAATCATCATGGCATGTGATCCGTGGAAGCTGGCCATCCAAAAAGACTATGAGTCATTACAACAAGGCTCAAGTGAAGCCACCAACACTGTTCCTACGTGTACACAAGATGTGAAAGATGAACCCAGCTCTGCTCAGTGTAAAACAGAACAGCCATTACAACAGAACTCAGTTAAAGAAACCACCAATATTCCTATTCCTCCAACAGATGAAGAAAGGACAGACAGACCTTGCTCTTGTCAGTGTGAGTCAATACCCAGTCGTGGTTACTATCACCTGACATGTCACAAGTGTTTATTGCCCTATAGCATAGTTCTGTTCATACTGACCTCGTTCAGATATATCTGGCAGCAGTTGAAGCACATTTATCAAGTACTAAGACCAATCCCTTACCATGTGTTCATCTATAGCAAACTTCTGTTTGTACTGACCCCCTTCAAATATGTTAGACACCTAATGAAGAGGTTTTATCAAGTATCGATGCAGCTGCTTCATCCCCTAGCCCAGCAGACACGTAATGATATGATCGAACCTTGGGTTTCTGGCTCAAACACACAGCGTTTGGTATATCTTTTTCATTTTGTAGGGTACAACTTAGCTTGGATCCATGTTCTTTTTGTAATGATGCCAGGAATGATATTCACCACTATATTCATTACATTAATTCTAAGCTGTATTCTAGGTAATGCAACCCAAAACAGGCTAATAACTTCTGCATATAGAACATTCAAAGCCATTGTGTCTCCTTCACAAAAGTTTTGGGGTACTTTATTTGTATTGTGTTCATGTGTGGTCAGATTTTATATGTTACCAGCTTTAATTAATGTGGAATTTATATTTGTTTTTGTACTTACAATACTGTTGATTGTGATACTACTAGTAGAATATTATATGGTAGAGTCAGTTCTGGTCTCCATACCAAAATCATCTTTAATCATAATGAACATACTTGACAATGTATGTTCCTTGGTATGTTTCTTCAATACTCCCTCATTTCTTTTAAGCTATCCATTGCTGCACATTGTGTTATGTTCCATTTTAATATCACATATTGATGACAAACTCCATATGTATGTCTCCTTAAGACATTTACGCTCTCAATTCACATGTGATTCTAATAAAATAATTGTCTGGTACCTGCTGCTACATATACTTTTAGTATGTGCATTATATTTACTGTATGTTTTCATATGATCTTAATATACTTTTTAGCATAAAAAAGTCATATATATATCTTAATACCCATTTAATCTAATCACTTCAATATCTTTGTTATAATATTGATTAACTATTATGATGTAAATGTGCTGCTAATTTATTTGTGTCACAATGTATAATAAATTGTTTATGTCCAGGATTGTACCTTGTGCATAGAGGTGTATATTCTTAATTTAATAGAAACCTAATTATATTGAGTTTTTTTCAAGACAAATCATAGTAGTGTACTTTAACAGTCATTTTTAGTTATAAAACAGATGTATGAGTAGTTTGTCTAATTGGATGACCAATGACCACTGATATTACTTGCTAAGGCCCAGGTAGGTAGACTAGAATTTTGGTTTAAATCAGAACAATATTTGGGCTAATGTGATTTTGTGAAAATGGCCATGTAATCTTTTAAGATTTAATAGTTAAAGCAATCTGAAGGTCAGATGGTATAATAGTATATTATTTTTTGTCACTATGAAACAGAAATATGTAAATTAGTCTTACCTGCACCAACTTTTCAATTTTGAAAATATATTGCAATAAATTTTCAAATTTTTCTTGCTTTATTTTTCTTATTTGATATTTCTAATTTTTTGGAATTATTTCAAAAATGGATGTTTAATACTTTGTTCTAGAGAATTTGCTACCCCTGTCACAAATCTTTCTTCTCATTAATCACAAATGCAAGTGCAAAAAATTACAGAACATTATGTTAAATTATTAAAATTATATTATAACCAAAGAATTAAGACAATTTTAAAAGCAGAACTCCCAAGTTCAGGATAATGTAGAGTTTGAAACAAGACTAGTTTGTAGGCAATACATACAAGAAGAAAATTTTCATTTGATGGATCGGGGCCGTAGCGATAGTCCGAAGGTTCAATAGTCCGAAGGTTCATTGGTCCGAATGTTCTATAGTGAACATTCGGACCAATGAACCCTTGATTAAAAAATCGATGAAAATGTTACCACTTTTCGGACCAATGAACCTTCAGACCAATGAACCTTCGGACTATCGAGACGCACCCGATGGATCACCATTTTCTTTTAAACAAATTACTCCCGGCCTACACTTACCCTCTACCAAGGCCACAGATTGATTTTTCACAAGATATTCACAGGTATATCCTTAAATAAATAGACAGTTTTTTCATTATCTGGCTTTTTTAATTTTTCCCTATGATATCTGCCACCTTGGTAGAGGGTACCCTACAACTTGCATAACATTGGATCATTCATGTTACTCCATTACTCTCCACCAGAGGGCAGCTGGATGGTTATATCATTTTTGTGCAAACTTTGTCAATGGAGGGTATAAAAACGTGCAGAGCTAGCAAGAAGTCAGAGAAATTTATTGTGAATATCTAGTGAAAAAATCCGTGTGATCCAAGTAGAGGGCAACACTCCAAACCAAGTGCAAAATTGCATGATTATAGAATTTATCAAATTTCCTTACTATTGTCCCCCAAAATCTACTGCGTCACACACAGCCCTGCACAATAAATATGCAGCCCTGATCAAATTCAGTAAGTGGGAAATTTCTGTATCCATGTTTTGCGTTACCATAACAGATCAAAGCTTTTTAGGTGAACAATACCCCACAGTACAAAACATTTCAACATCTGGGTCAAGGCAGTGCCATTATTTACCTGGACTACAAAACTAACAGCAATATAATCTAAACAAAGCCTTTGTTACAAGGTGGCTGATATTTTTAGCTGAAAATATACACTAAAAAATACCCAATATTTTTAACTGCTCTGTTATCCAGTTAATGTGTGATAAGGAAGCTGTTAGCTACCCCTTGGTTGCCTCAGATCAAGATAACAGAGTCCAGATAGACAGTCTGCTGTATTATATGGTAAGTGACATCTCTGATTATTCAAAGATAAAAAAGGGACCACAGCCACAATCAACAAAAACAAGTTTAAGGGTACTGAAGATTTTTTTATGATTCAGATACCCAAAGTAAGGTCTTTCCTAATTATTCCATAATGCACCTATCTTCGTGCTGATTTAAAATGTGTGTAAATGTTAATTTCACCAAAGATTTACCCGTTATTCGAAAGAATGTATCTAAGGCAGTAAATAATTTTTTTTTTTTTACAAATGCTTATAGTATTTTTAAGAACTAAATGCTTTCATTCATTGCTAGAATTAACAGTTATAGTTTGCAGCTTTTTTTTCTTTTTTTTTTTTTTGTTAGGAGGAAAAAGTTAACTTTGTTACATGTTCTTTTAAACATAAATTACCCAGTATATATCCCTCAATTTCCATCCTTCATTACCTGTTACAGTACCTAAAGACAATACCAATCTAAAAAGTCAGCACTTTACCAGCCTAAACATATTCATTTTAGATATTGTGCTTGCAGTTATCCACAGGAGTAACAAGAAGGCCACCAGTCAGAATAATAGAGATTTGCCGGAGTTAGCTGTCTTATAAGGTAACAAATGGTTAATTATACATTAAAAAACAGAAAAAAATTATTAAATGAAAAGGAAAATTGTGAAATAAAGGTTTTTTAAGTGAGGAGCATGTTAAATTTTTCCTCCATATACTTTTCAAGTACCAGGTACTTAGTAGATATATCGCTAACTTCTAAATGTGAAAAATGCAAACTGCCTAACAATCTGAATGCTTATTCCATACTTCACTGACTTATGTATACGCTGATTGAGAACCACTATTATAATGACCTTCACCAAGATGGTCATGCTTTTGGTTCTGTTAGTTTGTATGTCTGTTGACAAAACGTTAGAATGGACTTCAATAAAATTGTCAGGAACTGTCACAAGTGAACCAAGAAGCCAAAGGTTTGATTATTGTGGTGATTATTGTATAATTTGTCTCTATCCTTCAATTTTATCAATGATTAATTTAATTCAATAATAATAATGAGAATTCAGTTTTCTTGGCAGAGGATTTACAATTACTTTTAGATCAGGACTCCCACACATCATTATCAACATATCATTGCTACTAACACATGACTTTTATGGATTTACTGTAACAGTTGTTAACCCCAAGTCTAAAAACTATCCAAAATCATCTGCTGTATCACTTCCTTTTTCAGGCATATGAAATTTAAAACAATAAACAAATAACCAAAAAATCACAAACAGACTAAGTCTAAGATGAACAAATAAACTGCATCTGATAATTACAGCTCATTTGATCCTAAGATTAAGTTTATGCATTAAAATTGTCTTAAAACTTGGAAATAGTATATATATTTTTCTTCTAATAGGTCACCAATATGACTACACTGTGGAAACTAGCTATTAAGAAAAACTCCACTGAACTAATGAAAGACATGGAGGTTTCAGAAATGATGCCATATTTGTATGAAAACAATATCCTCACTGATCATCAGCATGATGACATACAAAATGCTACTGGGAGAGAAACTCGGGGTAAGATTCTTCTTGGTTATATACTGAGGAAGGACCCTGCCCTGGATCCCTTTGGGCATTTCATTTGTGCCCTCCAGTGTACAAACCAGAATCATTTGGCTGAAAGTCTGACCAATTCATACAACTGGCTAGAACAAGAAGGCTATGGAAATATGGATGTTCCAGAAGAAATTCTGAATGACCCTTGCATATGTAACTTTGAATCTGTGAGCCTTTTGTATGGCCACCAGAGGGTTTCATGCAACTGTTCATTTATTATCAAAACCATCAAAAAGGCTCTGAAATGTATTCAGTTTCCTTTCAAATTTTTTCTGGCATTTCTGTTTTCATTATTTACCCCAAAACGTGAGGACATGAGCAAACCACGTGTAATGTATACCTCAGGGAATTCTACAGTCACTCTCTCCCAAAGATTAATGCAACTCTTTTACTGCATAATCCTGCAGGCATATGACCATGTGATTGAACCTCTGGTTTCAGGCTCCAACTCTGAGTGTTTAGTTTTTCTCCTTTATTTAGTAGGGTACAACTTAGCTTACATTTATGTTCTCTTTGTGATAATGCTACCAGAAGCAGTCCTCATATTATACATCATCATTACCTTTACATTTACTCGCAGAACATCAACACGCACCCATGGACAAATTCCAGTAACATCCAAGAGCTTTATTTTTCATTTAAACAGTTCTAGTTTACAAGTACTTGTGGTATGTGGTGCTGTGGTCACTTTTCCTCAGGCACTAAAAAATATTTCTATGACATCTTTATCATTAACACTTTTACTCATTATACTATATATCATGGTCAGTTTAGCACTAACGTACTTCCCAATATTTTCTTTATCCATAATGAACATATGTTCCATGGTGTGTGTGGGTGTTGAATATGGGTACTTCTTTAATAAATCATTGTTTTTTTCAAGTTATCCATTGCTGCACATTGTGTTATGTAACATTTTAATGTCAGGTATTGTAGGCTCACCACATATGTATGTCTCATTAAGACATTTACGTTCTATATTCAAATATGATGTAATTGACCAAAATTTTCTTCAAATCCTTGAAAGATTTAAGTTCTTTGTGCTGGTTTTAATTGTATACGAATGTATGGTGACATTGAAAAATGCCCATGATCTTGGTCGCCTAAAGACCGTCTTTCAAGATACATATAATCTTTATACCTACTTATTTTAATCAGTTCAGTATTCTTGTTATATCACATGCTTCCAAGGTAAAGCATAGTTATGCACTTTAATAAAGTTAGAACTGGTATGAAACATGCACTGCATTACTGCTAAGTTCTATTCTAGGTAATAAACCCAAAACAGGCTACTAATTTCTGCATATAAAACATTCAAAGGCATTGTGTCTCCTCCTTGTTGGAGGGATTTATTTGTATCATGTTCATGTGTGGTAAGATTTTATATGTACCCAGCTTTAAATAATGTGGAATTTATTTAGTTTTTTTTTATTTACAATACTGTTGATTGTGATACTACTAGTAGAATATGGTAGAGTTGGTGCTAGTCTCCATACCAAAATCATCTTTAATCATAATGAACATACTTGACAATGTATGTTCTTTGCTATGTTTCTTCAATACTCCCTCATTTCTTTTAAGCTATCCATTGCTGCACATTGTGTTATGTTCCATTTTAATATCACATATTGATGACAAACTACATATGTATGTCTCGTTAAGACATTTACGTTCTCAATTCACATGTGATTCTAACAAAATAATTGTCTGGTACCTGCTGCTTCATATACTTTTAGTATGTGCATTATATTTACTGTATGTTTTCATATGATCTTAATATACTTTTTAGCATAAAAAATGTTATATAGATATTTTAATACCCATTTAATCTAATCACTTCAATATCCTTGTTATTATAATAGTGATTAACTATAAGTAAATGTGCTGCTTATTTGTTTGTGAAATGATGTATAGTTAGGTGCTTATGCCCAGGATTGCACTTTGTACATGAAGGTGTGTTTCATTGATATAATAGAAACCTAATTATATTGAGGGTTTTTTTCAAGAAAAAGCTTAGTAGTGTACTTTAACAGTCTTTTTTTTTTTTTTTTTTTTTTTTTTTTTTTTTTTTTTGTTATAAAACAGATGCATGAATATTTTATCTAATTGGATAACCACTGATTTAACTTGCTAAGGCCTAAGTAGGTAGGCTAGAATTTTTGTAAGTTCAGACCAACATTTGGGCCAAAGTGATTTTGTGAAACTGGCCATGTAATCTTTTAAGATTTAATAGTTAAAGCAATCTGAAGGTCAGATGGTATAATAGTATATTATTTTCTGGTTAAAGTTGGTAAGATTTTGAATTTTTCATCAAGAAACTTATATGCGCACCCCTGATGAGTCATCAGCAAAACAGAAGTTGGCCATTTAATTTTTTGTCATTAAACATTTGGTTAAAAATAATTATAATATTTTATTAGTCAGCTTCTTATCATGAGTTGAGCATTGTTCAGCATGAATAAGACCATCATTTATAATATTGTGGTATATAACATGTAAGTGTCTATAAAAAATTGGTTGGAATTTTAATGTCAAAGTTCTCTGGTTGTATTGTTTTCAAACAACTTTACATAAATATTATGCATAATGCACTGAATGTGAACTTCAAGAAGCTGCATTAATTAATTCTTGGACTTGAGTCATTAACAAAAACATTCATTCATTTATTCATTTTTCAACATTGTCTGAACAGCATATGAATATTTATCATCATGAATGATTGAGAGAGAGAGAGAAAGAGAGAGAGTACATGAAGTGGTATAAGTGTAAAGGCAGACATATAAAAAGACTTAAGCCACTATGAAACAAAAATATGCCAAAATATGCAGCAACTAATCAATTTGAAAAATATACTGCAAAAACATTGGAATATTTCTAGCTTTAATTTCCTTATTTGATATTTTTTCATTTCTTGGAAATATTTCAAAAATGGATGCTTAATACTTTGTTCTAAGGAATACCCTACCCCTGTCATAAATCTTTCTATTCGTTAATCACAAATAAAAGTGCAAGAAATGCTAGTACATTATGTTCAATTATTAAAATTATATTACATGTACAAACAAAGAATAAAGATACTTCTAAAAGCAGAACTTCCATGTTCAGGATAACGTACATGTAGAGCTTGAAACAAAAATGAAACAGTTTATTAATATCACCCCTACACTAATTTCCCAGTAAAAATCAATACAAGTTGCACCAATGCATCATTCATGTCACTCCATTTCTCTACACCAGAGGGCAGCTGGGTGATGATTTCATTTTTGTGCAAACATTCTCTATGGACAGAATCTAAAAATGAGTAGAGCTAGCAAATAGTCAGAGAACTTTATTGGAAGCATTCATATAAATGGTCTCTCTGCCTCTCACACGCCTCCTCGTGTCCCTGCAGAAGCACACTAATTAAATCTTTGCTCAATTCAACCGGTTGAGGGACGATGCATGAGGAGCCATGTGAGAGGCGAAGAGACCAATACAGGAATAAGCATGCAGTTTCTCTTTCATGTAGGTCCGTCATATTTAGGTCGCGGCCTAACTAGACTTCAACTCTTCTCAATGTAAATGCTCCTATTGTGAATATCTAGTGAAAAAAAATCCTCTGTGATCTAATTAGAGGTCAACATTCTAAATCTAGTGCAAAATAGCATGATGATGATGATGATTTTTAAATAAAATTTTGTTACTATTTTCACCAAAAACTACTGCAACAGTCACAGCCCTGCATAATATACAAAGCCCTGATCAAATCGCAAAGTCAGTCAGCCGGAAGTTCTTGTATCCATGTTTTGATTAACCATAACAGATCAAAGTTTTTTAGGTGAACAATACCCCACAGTACAAAGCATATCAATACCTGGCCCACAGCAGTATTGACCAGTACTTGTACCTGGACTGCAAAGCTAACAGCAATCTATTAATCTTAACAAAACTTTTGTTACAGGGTAACTATTATTTTTAGCTTAAAAGATACACAAAAAAATCCCAATATTTTCAACTGCACAGTTATCCAGTGAAAGTGTGACAGTGAAGCTGTTAGCTACTACTTGGTTCCCTCAAATCAAGATATCAGTGCCCAGATAGACAACTTGCTGTATTACATGGTAAGTAATACATGTATGTCTGATAATTCAAGAATAAAAAAGGGACCACGCCAAAATCAATAAAGGCATGCTTAGGGGTGCTTAAGGGTTTATTATCATCCAGATATCAAAAATGAGGTTTTACTTACATCTAATTATTCAATGATGCATCTACCTTTGTTCTGATTTTTCTGATTTAAAGTTTGGGTAAATGTGCGCGACTTGTAATATGTGTCAATAGAAGTTTATAGCTCTTATCTAAAGTTGATCTCTTTTCTTATCATATTGCCTTAAATTATGGTAAAGTCTCAATAAAGATACTAGTCTGTCACGCAAAGTTAGGTATCAAATCAGGCTGCGACCTGGCAATAAATCAGTTTTGATTTTTGTAACTAAACAGTGGTGTTGCGTTACTCTTCTCTCCGGGCATAACCAAAGTCGGGAATCGGGAACCGTATCTAGAATCTTTCAACGGTGGATTAGAGCCCCTAGCGTCTAGATTATACCCGCATTATATCAAGGTATGACAACACCATGGCCTCCCTCTTCCAGTGAATTTCCACTTCTGAAGAGCCAACAATATATCATTTCTCTTTGCCAGAAGAAACACACATACCAATTGCAAGCTGATGTCAGTCTGTCAAGATATTGTATATTAAGCATTTAAAGGGAGGTACCCAGAAAGTTCCCAGAAGTCACTGACATTATCTCTGACATTTAGGCACTTGACTGGGTCTTAATTCCCAACAGCTCACATTACAGAAAAAAAAATCACTGCATCATATACTTAACCACTGTAGGTCTAGCTGCAAGTCCAGGTGCTATCCTCCAATGATATACCAGCAGGTTTTATCAGAGGATTTCCAACAGTTCTGATATGGGACAATATTGACTTTAAGGTAGAAACTCTCACTGGAGCTGGAACTAACACACACACACATATAATGATTCAAAGAGAGCAGCTGATCGAATATGTCACTGCCAAGACAGTCGTTGATGAACAGAAAGTCTTACACCCCATTCTCATAGATTAGATCGACCTACATTGGATCGACCTAACTCCCTGGGGGTTCACGCTAAATAGCTGTCAGCCGGGCGGACACGAAAGTTAATTACCCCTTAAAGCTTGTAGTAGGCGGGAACGGACACTTAAGTGGGATTATCTGACAGTAATCTAGTGAGACTCCCCGCGGTGATAGATCGATCTAAAAGTTGTGAGAA